AAGGTATTCGCTGCCTACCACACAATGACCAATGTGCCCAAGAACAACAAAGACAAGATGAACCTGTACTGTGTGACCTTCTCTGAGACTGTGAGCAAGAATCTGAGCGGGTTTTTCAAGGCCTGGGGTTGGCCAATAGAGGACGCCACTGAGCAGAAACTCTCCAGGTTGCCAGCCTGGACCGACCACCCCATGACCCAGTACAAGTGATACTGGTTGAAATCTGTGTAAAACTGGTGTTGGGTTTGAAGTCTACAAACAAATTTGACATGAAGGATAATAAGACATGATAAGAAATGTTATAAAAATGCTGCATTGTCTAGTTTGTTTTTCAGATATAGTTTAAAGGGGCACTATGTAACTTTTCTAGTGGAGGGTTTGCTATTTTGTACCAAGAATATTTCATTAAACGTGTGCACTACTGTATCTCCATGAGGACAAGCAGAATCTGTGGAGTGTACAATATTTTTCGAGGTATTTTTGAACACGAAAAACACCCATAACTCTATAAATCCAGGTAAAGCAATAAGATACGGAGACAAACAGTGCCCTCGCCAGAAAAGTGACATAGTGCACCTTTATTTTAAGGAACTGTTAACTGTTGGAAACAAAAAAAAGATGTACTGTACCTGTCAAACGTTGCTTGGTTAGGAGACTGAACTGTCATTTTTTGTCATCAACATTCTTACAATAAAAATAACATAGAATATAATTTAGTAGCTTTAAAGTAAGTTGAAAATGACACCAAGTGGTCGTCACTCATAGTCAATGGAGATTTAGGCCACATCATTTCATTCTTGGTTGGGGAGGGCATCAGAGAAACTATAATGGGGTTCAGTGCACCAAGGACAATGCCTAGATAATCCCATCAAACACTCACCCATATACATTTACTCAGAGCAATACACACAACCACTGTGTTGAGATGGACTGAGAGTGTAGTTTAATGCTACCACTAATGCATGACAGACTCAAAAGTGTCTTGCCCAAGAGCATAACAGTAAGGGATTGTAATTTATACTCCTGTACTCTAATCTGGGAGTTTTTTTAGGCCTACTTGAGGAATAATACAGACCACTTTATAATAACTTCAAAAACTGGGCTGGAATCCACGAGTCCAGAATGATGAAAAGATAGGAACGTTGCCATAGTAATTAACAATTCACAATTAAATATTATATTTTTTTAATGGTCAGTTGTCCTCAAAATGGCACCATGTAGTAAGGTTATGAATACCTGGATTCACATTCAAGGAGTCTTCAATATCAAGGTTTTTACAGTATTTATTATTGAAAAAGTAACACTCCTGGCAAGTGTCTTTATTAATAAATTACTACATCAGTTATTATCATTACATATCTACATAACTGGTGGACTTAGGCCCGTCACCATAAGTATTAAATCGACTTATTACTCAGTAAATGACAGTGTGCCACTCAGGTGACCAGATTTTCAAAATTAAAAACTGCTACATCCCCGTTTTTGGTGGTTGGTAACAATAAAATTGTTATGCAATCACTGTTATGCAGACCATTCATGACTAACATGTGAGCCAGTATAGCCCCATTTTCTTTGTGTCATTTTTAAGCAACTTTTCTATATTTTACCTCAACAGACAATGTATGCCTCTCTTTACTGTTGGAAGGTATCAGATTGATCAAAAATAGGGACACCTGGGACATTTCATGTATAAAACTGGGACAAATCACTAGTTTTGGATGAATCTGCTGGGACAGGGGACACAGGGCTCAAAACTGGGGCTGTCCAGGTAAACAGGGACTGGTCTAGTTACCCTCGTGTATACACCTTATTCCACTGAGAATTTAGGAAACATTTTACATCTTAAATATGACATGAAGCAGGTTCATTTGTGTAAAATGTAAAATTTTCATGTGCACCAACAAGTCACACTGCACCAATTTCTGTGGAGGCTTTAAAACGGTTTTATCGTCTGTATTGAATTGAGCTGTCATGATCAGCAGCCCCATACAAAATAATAACACCTGAGTAACGATGGCACATAGAACTATAATAAATGTGATGGCGACGCCCACGGCAACTTCTGGAATCTAGTGACCAGATTTTCAAAATCCAAAAGTGGGACACTGGGGTTGGGTTTGTTGGTATGAATAAAATTAGGAAAAAAAGCATGTGACATTGTGCATTCATCTGTCAGTCATAAGGGACTTCTGTTCCTTTATCCCTGAAGAAGCCAAGAACCCTTTTCTTCTTTGGAAAATTATGAACAATGCATTAAATGACTGCTATAAGTTCACTGAACACCAAAATATCCACTTTTTTAATTCCCTCATTTAGGATTACAGTCATATCATTTCAAAGAATGACAATAGCAAACACTGTCAATGTTGATCACCGTAACAGACAAGAAATGCCAGAAAAGTATCATATACGAACGACGGGTCCAGATGGGAAATTTACAGCGTGCACGATGCGCAACCAGCATGTCAATTCCTCCCACGGAAGCGTTGTACTCCTTGATGATGATCGGCTGATCTGGTCTGTTGTAGCATCCTGGTACGACTCAACCTGTTTGACCTTGAAAGCTCACTTCAGGCAACTCAAAGCCTTTCTTTTGCCACCTGTAGGTTTTTGCGGCACGATTTGGCTCCGTCTGTGGGCTAGAAGTCTCGGCAAATTGCACATCTTCATCATTGGACGAGTCATTGTCTTAGACAGAAGATTCACATCATCACTTTCTTGTGGTTGAAACAATTCATCAGAATTGCTATCGCTGTCCAATTCAGGGCCAAAGTCACTATCATCAACTTGAAGTTGCTCTAATACTTGTCTTATAGTGAAATTTCTCTGTTGTTTTCCCGGTGCTGAAAAGGGAGTGACCATATTCCCTGAAAAGATAATAGGTATTTATTTTATTAGTCTCTGGCCCTGTACTACCTTGGTAACTTAGTAAAATATGCCCACAGACATTTGGTATTGAATGAAATCAATCAATAGAGTACAGACCCCTTTATAAAATTATGTATTTACATGCATGGCTATAGGCCTCTATATATACAGTAGCCATTGCCAATACACTATTTATACTATTTATATATACTATTATACTATTTATATACTCTATTTATATATATTATCATACATTTTTCAAATTGTTACATTATATTCTACAAATGAATGTAATTCAAGGCTTTAGCCAAATACAGGACTGTCACCATTCTCCATTTACAAAGTCACTGAAAGAACCAAAGGGTCATTTTTGACCCGTTATTTTTTTCACCCATCCACCCAAAGGGTCTTTTCTGGTCCATTGTTTTTTGGACTAGCTCAGAAAGAACATAAAAAGTACTTCTAGGCATTCTGCAGGCTAATACTAAATAGATTAACAAGCAATACACAATTTTACCTACCGCTGGTTTGCTGAAAAGATGATTTTGTTTGGGTATTGTTCCAGCTCAACAAAACACCATGTGGTCAGCCATCTTGTCACTACCACTCTGGCTCGTGTCAGTTCGATATTCATCCACTAGGTGTCTCTATGCAGGGGCCAGAAGTGGCATTCTGGGCTTTTGAGGTTAAATTTGACGATTTTTTAAAATGTTTGTTCATTTTGGGTAGCAGCAATTAACAGAGGTCAAATTTGACCCCGTGGGTTCTCCAGGGTTATTATTATTGTTGTTTTATGGTCATTTGCAAACACAGTTTTCTGTATTGTGGCCAAACAAATGAAAATGTATGCTCCTCATTACTGTTTTTAAGGGAATCAGATAAGTAAAAAAATTTTGAATTTTAGTCTTAGTTTAGTCCGAATTTAGACCTGGTTTAGATCAAATTAGAAAAAAAAAAAAACTGGGACAAATCACTGGTTTTGTATGAAATTAGGATACAGGTCTCCAAACTGTGACTGTCCTATGGGTAAATAGGGATGTTTGGAACATTGTAGGAACATTGTTGTTATTTGACTACCAGTAATATTATTGTTTATCGTGATATCATTCTTACAAATGTGTTTATCGTGACAGGCCTAGCTACACGATCGACAAATCCAAGCCTAAGTCTAAAATTCATTTAAAATCAGTTTGTGTCTTGGGGCCGTATCCTGCCCCCAGTCTCAGCGCTGGTGCAACCACAGGGCGTGGAGCTCTAAAGAAGAGGTGTGCAGTGCCTAAATATCAGGTGGAGTGGAGCAAATTGAGGGCGTGGCGTGTTTTGCGAAAAGCCAGAATCGTAAAACATAAAACTGAAAAGTAGTGCACTAAAAGTGTAACATACTCAAGATATTTCCTGAAATAAGTAATTATGATTATCATTAAGATTATGATTATCATCAATTATCACCGTGGTGAAGTTAGTTTCACGTCAGACGTTAGATATTCAGTTACGCATCAACAGTGGAGATGTTCATTGCCTGTGCCCCGCTTACTCGATCACGGTGCGGGAGCTGTACACCAAAGCTCCGCTGAGTCCGCGGATTAGGGGCCGTCAATAAATTACCATTGCATTGAATGGAGTCTGCTAAAAAAAAAAAAATAATAATAATAATAATAAAATAAATTAAATAAGAAAAAAGGAATAAAAAAAAGGGATTGTGCATGTACGTTTTATAAAATATTTGTTATTTTTTATGTATTTTGAGGGTTAATTAGTTAATGCATTTTTTCAATATCTTCCAGGTCAATTAATCTAAAAACGCCAAACCAAGTTATTATAGTAGTCCAACTCCTCAGGTATCACGCACACCTTTTGGTTTTCCAAATTAACCCCTTTGTGGGATTTTTAGTTTGGAGTTGGTAGGTCATCTACCTTAGAAGCTATTGAAAAAAAAATCACAGATTTTCAAGATTAAAAATTCTTAAAAATCCCACAAAGGGTTAATTTGGAAAACCAAAATGTGTGCGTGATACATGCGGAGTAGGACTACTATATCAACTTGGTTTAGTGTTTTTAGATTAATTGACCACCCTACTAGCATCAGGATCCGCAGCGGATCCGCTTTCGGCTCCGCCAAATCCGCCCCACAGTCCGTCCGCTTTGCGGATCCGCTGCGTATTTGTTCCGTATTCGCATTCTGACTGTTGCTAACCCTAACCCTTGGATGGCCTGCTGTTACAGAGAGAATCTGCGGTTAAATCATCTTAGATCCGCACTGTGAACGTACTTTTAACACAACACTTTGTTTTTGACACAATGATTTGTACTATCAATGCGCGGATCCGCGGCTAACCCGGTTCGGATTCGCTGCGCGGACGCGCCACTGACTCATCAGCCGTTATCAGAACCATGAGAGAAAGAAACAACATCCACCTGTTGTCCGTGGATTTCACTGTAAGTAATAGTTTAAAAGTTAATTGTATATTAGTCATCATTAATGTACATAACGTTAACGTTATATTGTGGTGTGTGTACATCTGTGACTGTTTTATCAGTTTTGACAAGTGCAGTAGGAAAGTTAGCGACAGAAGCAGCTGACGTGATGAAGACGATGTGAGGTCAGGAGTCAGGATAACTCCATCTCTTGAGGTAGATCCCAGTCTAAATACTATTTTTATATAACGCTACTTATATTCTTGTATATTTTTACGATCACAGAATTGTAATTCTGCTCCGTGATCATTGGTCGTGTCTAACGGGCTCGGTTCTGGCTGGATGCCGCTCTCGGCGCTCTGCCTTCGGCTGTGGAGCGACGGTGACACCGGTGTCTGATCTGGTTGTGTTTTTAACCAGAGATAATTATTATTTGTGTAGACTAGAGTGTTGACTGTTGAGTTGAGACTAAAGTGCAGTCATGTCAGTGCCTTAATACAATAATTTAACGCAACGTGCCATAATACAATAACGTAACGTAATAAAAAGCACAACTTTTAACAACAGCTAACGTTAGCTAACCAACCAAAACTTATGTTGTTTTTCCCCAGATGACATCAGGAGCCCCTGTCCTTCTGCTGAGTGTCCCCATCAGGAGGCCGGCACGCTGATCAGAAGTCAGTACTTTTAATGATTTCTGTGACAGTGAAGATTTAGTTTAGAGCCAGATCTGACTTTGTCTCTAACTTTCTGTTATGGGACTTGAGACGGTGCTTCAGACTTTCAGTGAGAGATGTTGACATGAACACTAATGTGTCACATCTATATTACACTGATATTGACTATGAACACCATCATAAATTGATTATTATATTTTAAATGTTGTGGTAAAAGTAAATGTAGTAGAGTATTGTGTATTAACAGCAGTGAAATATGTCTCATGTTCATACTCAGGCTCAAACTAAAACAAAAGAGTTCAGTTTTACTGCGCTAAAGTATTTCCTATGAGTTAAATAATGTTTTTCATCTCTGTTTCAGAATATACTATGGTTAATAAGAAGATGGACATAACAGCATGACAAAGACCCTCTGGAGGTAAATACTGCACTTGGATTAAACACTGGGGCCTGAAATGATCCAAACTGATATTTGTGTTTCTCTTATTTGATGTTTTGCAGAATTCCCTCTGCTGGGCCAAGTTCCAAAAATGTAGAGACAGACCCTCTGTAAGTTTACTGTATTATCCTACTTTTATTAACTTTCATAACTAAACATATGCACATTATAATCACACCTGTTGTTGTGCATATTGTTTCTTTCAGAACATGCTGTGGTGGAGTTTAAAGACTGACCCTCTGTAAGTGCATAGATTTCTCCAATCAAGTGTTTACCTTTCATATTCAAATCACACAGCCACTGTCATGACTTACACTGTTCTTCACAAACCTGAACTCTAACTCCTTACAAGAATAAGAGGTGTAGTGGTGGGGTGTTTAATACACACTGGTGTCATTTCAGATGCTGTGAGAAAGGGGAAGTCCAGAGCTGGACACTGACAGACTGGATCTTCACCAGTAGGACTGAAGAGGAGCCAGCCTCACTACACCTCTGCCTCAAAACCTCTGCCTCAGACTGAAGCTAAAGACAGAGGCTCTGAAGCTCCCACACTGCACACTCTATAAGAACAACCACCCGTCTAATTGTTCTGTGGTGGTAAACACAAGTTAAGTTTTAGTTTTAAACAGTATGGTATGGCTACACACTCCGTCTCATCTGTCCAGGCTTTTACTCATATAGCTTATATTTGTTTTTTGCCATTTAAAAAAAACTAAAACTTTGCTAAACTTGAACTATTTTTAGTAAAAACTGTAAATTGTCATTTTCATATTAAGAATGAAGCATTGGTTAACTCAAAGGGTATATAAGTCCTATAACATTAATAATGATTATTCATGTCCTAAGATTTCTAATTAATGATTTAAATAAATATTGTTTACAATGTAAAAAAAAAAAAAAAAGTTTCTTTTTTTCTTAACTAATGAGAGTTTTAGTGATAGGATATCACTGATCCAACTTTGAAATTGTTTAAGTTTATGTTTTTAAATTTAAGCCTTTATATCCTAGTTTTAATACTTGCTGTAAAAGTTTTATGTACAATTACAATGCAAATGCTGCTGGTGTATTTAGGTCAGTAGGAAGTGGATCAGTATTAAATCTGAAGCATATTTAGGCTCCTAACGACACAATAAACAGATCCGCGGCAGATAACCCGGTTCTGAAAGCGGATCCAAAACGGGTCCTGGGCGGATCCGCGAGATACGCAGCGGATCAGCCGCGCCTCCGCCGCGGATCCGGGCTTATTTTGACGGATCCGCGGCGGAGGCGCGCGGCTGATCCGCCGCGAATCTCCGGGCGGATCCGCCGCGTATCCGCCGCGGATATTTTTTGCTATGTGGGCAGGAAGATATTGAAAAAATGCATTAACTAATTAACCCTCAAAATACATAAAAATAACAAATGTTTCATAAAACCCTTTTTTATTTTTTTATCAATCTCTTTTTTTATATATATAATATTATATATATATATAATATATATTATATATATATATATATATATATATATATATATATATATATTATATATATTTTTTTTTTTTTTTTTTTTTTTTTTTTTTTTTTTTTTAGCAGACTCCATTCAATGCAATGGTAATTGGTTATTGACGGTCCCTAACCCGCGGACTCAGCGGAGCTTTTGGTGTACAGTTCCCGCACCGTGATCGAGTAAGCGGGGCACAGGCAATGAACATCTCTGCTGTTGATGCGTAACTGAATATCTAACGTCTGACGAGAAACTAACTTCACCACGGTTCAATTATCATTATTTATATTATTAATATTACTATTATTATCATCATTAGTGAAAGAGAAAACAGCTAGTAATAACAATTACAGAATATTGTAGACAGTCCGCGTCCCCTTAAATAGCTCAAAGAGAGGAGGGGCATTCTTTAGCCCACTCTCTTGGGGCGGGTCAATCAGACCCAACAATTTAATTTAATAATCAAAAAATTGTAATTTTTTTTGGTCTGATTGACCTGCCCCAAGAGAGCGGGAATGATTTTTTTTTTTCTTCGGGTCAATGTGACCCCAAGGAGAGCATGTGTTATGGCACAACAATGAAGGAAAAAAGGAGAATTTATTTTACAATGAGCAGAATGTGGGCTTGGAGCAGGGCTCCAGGAGCCTCTCACGGGAGTCTTCCTCCATCTCTCCCTCCGCTACTTCGTGCGCATCTTCCTCCACGGTCTCCCGGGTAGCAGCGATAGCCTCTGATATTTGTGGCTGCGGAGCTGAACAAGAGAGCATGACTGAGCATAGCCTTAAATGTATTGTTTGAATGAAGTGTGTTGGAAATTAGACAGCCGAATGTCAATTAAGATGTTTGCATTTCTATCATCCATTTAAAACTGCAAATCTTTTGTCAATTGTTTCTTAATTGTGCATTTGTTGTAATGGACCTATGCTATAAATCAAACATGCCTTAAGGGGTGTAGGCCTATTTCGAAAAATATATAGGCTCTTTAGGTAGGCTTGGACAATTGCACCAACATATTGGGGATTTCTTATTTTATTTATTTGTAAAGGGACAGTACATATTAATGAACATTAAAAATGTAAATATGCAAAGATTATAGCCAACATGGCTAATTTCCATCTTCAGTCCCTCGGTAAAATCATCTATAGGACAAGGAAAAGTACAGCAACAATCACACAAAAAGTACACAACACCAGCACACTCACTATACACAGTTTCAAACAGATAATTATAGTTAATAGATTAGTCCAAGCCTGTGAAGAGGTGCGCTGATAGGCCCATTCAGCATAACATATGGCCTAGACCCACGTATGACTCCAATTTAATTAGTCATTTAGTTTGCCTATTTTAGGATAGTTATTAAATAAGACTAAATTCAGGGATTTTAACTAAGACTCTAACAATACTCATATCTATTTAATTTTGTGAATTTCGCTTTGGGTGTGATTGTGGGTGGGAGAAGTTCTGCTTAATGTCTTACTTGGACGCCACCAAAGCCCTCCACGCTGAGGCAATGTCCTCTGCGGGTGTGAGCTCCGCTGACGTGGACTGATCACCTCCCGTTGCTGCGGCTAGACGGCGGTTGGCAACAGCCTTTTCTTTCCCCCATCTTCTGATATCACTGTACCAACTGCGACTCTGCTCCGCGGTCCTACTGATGCCAGAAGACGAGGAGACATCTGCTGCCACCTCCATCCACGCCTGCTTCACCTGTTCAAGAATAAAGTACACCTTATTGTCAAAAAGCCTGTAGGCTAGAACATAACTAAATATGTGTGAGTAGTGGGCTAAAAGGCTATTTTAGTGTTGGCTAGTTAACAATGTACTTACATCACGGGGCTTGTAAAGTGTTTTGATGTCCCCACATATTAATTGGGCAAGCTTTTTCACTTCGTGCACCAAACAATATTGTCTCGTCTTCAGAGAAGCGCTCGCCTCTCATCTTGCCTGGTAATGAGTCCATCAAAGAAATGAAGATTTATGCTCCTCATTACTGTTAGCGGGGATCAGAGCAGTCAAAAATTCTGATAGTCTTGTTTTAGTCCTGGTTTTGTTTTAGCTTACTCTGGGTTTATACCTGGTTTAGATCAAATTAGAGATACCTGGAACATTTCTTGTAAAAAAAAAAAAAAAAAAAAAAAAAATGGGACAAATCACTGGTTTTGTATGAATCTGCTGACGCAAGGGACACATGGCTCCAAACTGTGACTGTCCTGGATAAATAGGGACGTCTGGTCACCCTACTATAGGAACAGTGTTGTTATTTAACTACAGTTAATATTATTGTTTATCACGATATCGTACTTACAAATGTGTTTATCGTGACAGGCCTAGCTACGATCTACAAATCCAAGCCTAAGTCTAAAATTCATTTAAAATCAGCTTGTGTCTTGGTCTCCCTATGGCCTGCAGTTATTATAGAACAGCTCCCCCACTGGCTGATTGGAGAACTGCTGCAGGTGCTCTCCCATTTCATCCAGTGACATCTCTTCCACAAAATCCTCCTCCGTGTTATTGGCCGACCCCGCGCCGCTCTGTACTGGCTGTCCGTTGTTGTCCACGCAGCACCACGCGTTCCAGATGCGCTGCGGGATGTTGACGCGCTTCACGTCGTTTTTGATGATCCAGTTATCCGCGGACGGGATCGCGCCGACCAGGACGTAAGCCTTGGAGCATGTGTCCAGGAACAGGTCGGTGAGCTGGGACTCGTAGATCCTCCACGAGTTCTGGTTCAGTTTGGGGTTTTGGGGGATGACATTGGTCAGAGTGAAAGTGGCGTTACGGCTCGGGACTGTAAGAAAATAGTTGAAAATATCAAAGTTATAGGCTATTGGAATTTAAATGTGATGATGTGGTATTTGGTATGTCATCCTTTCCTGTTTCCTGTTGCTGTAATATTTGTGTTGTAATACAGCAGGGCTTAGGTCTAGTCAATAATAGAAATGATTAGGATCCATATTTGGGATTTTAATTTTCCAATATTTCATAGCAAAGTACAGAGTAATCAATAGACCTTTTTCACTACGACCGGAAGTGCCGCGATGTGGTGTTAAAATCGCTTCCGGTTAATGTTTTTTATTGTAAAATATCTGTGGAAATGTCTGCCGTATTCTCCACCAGCTTCATAAACCCTCCCCATCACCAAATCTATAACCAACAAGGTCCACAAAGAACGTATTCTGTCCATGAAGAATTTATCTACAATTATCAAGGAAAGAATGACGAAAACGTAAAGGCTAACAACGACTAGCATTAGCGAACTACTCCCTGAGTAAAACTAATGTTATGATCATGAATAAAACAGAAGTAACTTGTGAACTCAGACTGATTCTAGAATTAAAATAAAAAATCGAGTTTCTGATGTAGGTATTAGCATTGACAGAGAGATTTGTGCTGTATAAATACTAGACATGTAATCTGTGAACATCTGTAGCATTCGAACTGCACAAATCTGTCTCTATGCCAATATCGACATCAGAAACTCGATTTTTAATTTTAATTCTAGAATCAGTTCACAAGTTACTTTATTAATGAATTACTTATTACTTATGTTTTATTCATTACCATAACACTGGGTTTGCTAATGCTAGTCGTTGTTCACCTTTAAGTTTTTGTCTTTCTTACCTTGATAGTTGTTGATCAATTCTTCATGGACAGAATATGTCCTTTGTGGATCTTGTTGGTTGAAGATTTGGTGATGGGCAGAATTATGAAGCTGGTGGGAAATACGCCAGACATTTCCAAAGATATTTTGCCATAGAAAAGCATTAACGAAAATTATGTTTACTCTACATTGTGGCACTTCCGGCCTTTCTGAAAAAGGTCTATAGGAAAAACTGTGTCTTTCCCCCATCTGGAACTACAACATCTCACATTGTAGAATCTGAAAACCAGCAATGATTTAATTAGCCGGTGCTTTGTCATTCATGTTTTATCACGTTACGAATTTACTTTGCAATAGGCTACAGCAGCAATAGAAACTTCAAAACAAATCACTTTGGGGTAACACTTAAAACAACTACACCTTTTAAAGCATGAAGAAAGACTTAATTACTAATGAGCAAACTGTTAATTAAGAAGTCTAAATAAACTATTTTGTTACTATTAATAAAATATTGTTTGTTATGAATTAAGTCTTTCGTCATGCTTTACTAAAGCTAATTAAGGTGAAGTTACTTTGTAAGTTCACCATGTATAATTATTAACTAAATGTTTATTACTGCCAAATCACACTTGTCACATGGTCCCTGGGCTGCAGTTGGCCCCCAAGTGTTTTAGGTGTTATCAATACATTGCTTTCAGAATGAGGAAAAATGACAACTGTTGCCATACTGATTAACGATTACAACAAAACAATATATTATTTTGATTGTGAGCCCTTTAAATACAGTATTGCTTCTAACTGAGAAGCTGAAACCCATGAATGCTCTGCTGCCCTCTGCTGGCCATGCCCCTGTATGACCTGTATATTTACCTGGGTGGTGTCCGTTGGGGTTGAGGTGCCCTCTGTCAAACCCAGAGTAGGTGTAGTCCTCGTTCAGCGCCTGATTCTCTCCCAGATACACCCCAGGGTGGTCCTGTCCCAGCCAGTACCCGTCCTTCATCTCAGCCTGCCAACTACTGTCCACCAGCTGAAACAATCAGTATCAAGTATCCAAGTTTACAGTGTACCATGCAGAATCACAAAGTATAGGTAGCATATTTACTGTTAGTCTTTCCTCCAAATAAATAAATTACAAGTGTTAAATGTGTTCTGTTCCCGATATATATTTTATTTTCTTGAACCCATATTTTGTACTTTTACTGGAGTATTATTTTTGAATTAATGGTGCTACTTGAGTACATTTTTGGGCTACTCAACCTACTTCTCATCAGTTGTAATACTGTATCATTTTAGTTTCAGTATTTAACATATTGTGAAATAAGTAGAATTGTGTAGAATCTTGCCAACCTGAGGCTCCACAAACCATCTCTTCTCTCTGCCTCCTCCGTTACTTGGTTGGAAGTAATAGGCAGAGTAAACAGCAATCCGGTGCTTGGTATCGTACAGAGTGGCAAAGTGGTACCTAAAGAAATTATTATTATTTCTTAATCTAATGCATAAAGAAGTATACAGAATATAAAGAAGTATAACTGTATATACATGTGAGATGAACCAGCTGTATCATGTACTCCTGTTGACAAACCTGTTCACAAATCTCTGGCAGATTCGTGCAGCGTTGGGTGTAGAAGATCCCCAGTCAGGCACCTTCTCTCTGTAGAAGAACTCCAGGCACCCGGGAGCATCCTCAACACAGTGACCAAGTACACAGAAAGTATCATTATTGTGATTTAGTGCGGTCTTTAGAGTTGTAGTCAAGTTAAATTTTTTTGATGATCATTATGTTCACCTAAAATAACTTCACAAATGCTGATGTCACCATAAAAGTCATCACAACAAAAAAAGGCAACTCTGAAGGATAACTACACATCACACTAGTGAGTTTCTATGAATTTTATGCATATCACTGCCTAACAAAACAAAATTGAAGAACTAAGAGTACAGAGTGTGGGTGTGTATCGGTGTTGGTGAAAACGGGCTGATGTATCTGGTGTCTTGAAAATAAGCAATTAAAGATTGCATGCAAAAATCACTCCAAATACAACTTCAAGAGATCAGTGAGAAGGGAAACAACTATAACATGTTTAAAAGCTCTGAAAAGTCAATTTAGCAGAATAAGTCAGATTTAATGTAAGGTTCCAGTCATTACCATCCAAAACCAAATCCTGCACTTTTAAGAAGAGATTTCTTATTATTACTGACTGTGTTATTCAGTGGGTCTTTTTACAGCTTTAAGCTTTGAATTTAAAACCATCATTAAACACAATTTTAAAGTTTTTTTTAAAGGTTCAAGTCTATGTTCCATGAGTCTGAACCATGAGTCACTCCTCAAGTTATGTCATGTTAAAAAAGTTAAAATAAATAATAAAATAAATAAATAAATAAATCTCAAATTAAAATAGCTCATTTACAGAGTTTTTAGCCTTCCATGCAGCACATGTAAGTTATGATTTAGTCACATATCAGCCTGTACAATTAAACCAATAAGAATGATAATTGCACTATTGCAGAAGTTACATTTTCTTATCTTATGTTGTTATTATAAATTGATAAATGCTTTCAAAGTAGAACTCCGGATTTCCTTCGTGCATAAAATATATTGTCAAATTAAGAAGCCAAACTGGTGATACTGACCTCAAATCGCTCCACGACATCTGCACAGACACAGCAGAGGAGTGAGAGAAAAGTGCACAGACCGACCAGCGTCCCCATTTTCCTTAAAACAGTGTCATAATGTGTTTTCATTGCTTACAGTAATGATTATATGATAGCACTAAATGTCCCCTCACCTGCTCTGCACCTGTCACTGACCACAGCACTCACCCCTTATATACATCACCCCACCTCCCATCAAATTTCACCTGCTCTTACCTTTAAATGTGCTCAAATTCACAGAAACATTACCATTGCTATTCGATTCTTCAAACTTTGCACTTCATTCAGAATTTCATTTTCGTTCCATAACAGGCTAAATTGTATATTAAATTCTAAAGCATTTTGTCCTTTATTGGCAACATTACGTGGAAATAGATAAAAGTATTTGCACTTTAGTTGTAGAAGGAGCAGGTTGTGGGATTCCCAGGACCAGAGCACGAGCTGCACGTTTGAAAACACATGTCGAGGTCAAAGAAGAAGGACAAAAACTGCAATCAAACATCACTTGGGTCATTTAAAGGTGCACTATGAGGGTTTGAGTGTATGCCGCGTGCTCGTCTCCATGGAGATTTTAATGCTTTGCTAAGAAATTTTGCACATCAGGATGGCGTTTAACTTATCAATCTTGCGTTTACTCAATTAAGACTTCAAAACACCTTGAAAAACGTGCATTTTTACAGATCAGATGGTGCTGTCGTCTGCTTGTCTTCACGGTGTTAAGTTTAATGCCATACTGCGGATCATTCTAGGCAAAGCAATATCATCGTCATGGAGACAAGCCTATTGAACCCTTCACCAGAAAAGTTGCACTGTAGCTGTAGTCATGGTATAGTGACTTATGAACACTTTCCAAAGACATGCACATATTAATATTGATGATTTAAAGTTAAAGTGAATAAAACCAATCAATGAATCTTTAAAGGTCTTTTATTAGAAAAAACATGGACTCTTGTGAGCTTTTACTCATGTTATAATGTTGTTACCTCCTCAAAAACATACCCAGAGTTGTGTTTTGTTTCATTCACACATGTTCGAGTAATCCTGGTTTGTTAGTCTGTTTACATCTCCAAAGTTCAAATTGTCCTGTTCCACTTTGTGATGTCATGAAGCGGTAGTTTTCACGTTAACAGTCGTTTGAGAGAAGAACTAAATATGCCTAAATATGAAAGGTTTGTGCGTTAAACATGTGTGAATGAAACAAAACACAGCTCTAGGTCTGTTTGTGATGAAAAAAAAACATTATAACAACGCCAACCAGCGCTTTGCATTGTTATAAGTACAAAAGATTGTAAAATGAGTGTGTAATTAAGGAAAATTGTTATGCAGAGACCATTCATGACTAACGTATGAGTCAGTATAGTCACATTTTCTTTGTGTTTTGGTCATTTTTAAGCAGCTTTTCTGTATTTTACTGAAACAAATGATGTATGCCTCTCTTTACTGTTAGCAGGGTTAAGTTGGGTTGCTTTATTCATTCCCGTAGGTAAATTTGTTTCGCAGATTTGAGAGGCAGGTCCCACATTTCACTCATCCACATCATCATCAAATAAACATGTATAAAACACAGTTACAAAATAAAGTATTGCAGTGCTCCAGTGCAGAATGGTTTGTTCCTTCAACAGTTCGTTAAATTCATTCATCACGCTTGACTAAAATCACAATAAATATTAAATATATAAAAAGCACACGATTTTTCCAAGACAAAGTATTAAAATTGATAGATACGTAGATTACAGTTTATTCATAAGTGTGATAGCGGCTGGAATGAAGCTTCTTTTAAAACGGTTCATTCTAGATCAAACCGGTCAAAAATAGGGACACCTGGGACATTTCTTGTATAAAACTGGGACAAATCTCTGGTTTTGGATAAATCTGCTGGGACAGGGGACACAGGACTCAAAACTGGGACTGTCCCGGGTAAATAAGGACATCTGTTCACGCTAGTCTATCCTAAACTATTGAAAATTCAGAAAAAAAAAAAATTACAGTGTGAATCATATTTTTGCATGTATTTTAAAATGGGGAAACGTCTTAACTTGGCCTATTTAATGATGCTTTTTATTTTCTATTTTGTTAGGAAATTCACCCGTGGAAATGTACAAGTTACTCTCACCTACTGCTGCACAAACAAAACAATTGTCGCTGCCTGATGTTATTTACATAAGGAACGTTTTAGCGCCTCTGCGTGGATAATGTTGGTACTACAGTAAGGAGGCGTAACTTTGTCGAGAACGAAAGTGAAAGCTCCACTTTTGGAACGCGAGTTGTTTTACCGATGAAGAAGAATGGGCTTGTATTTAAAACTCTTTATTTACGTCTTTCTACTTAGAGGTGAGTTATATCTGTGTACAATATAATAGTTTGGAACAGTCTATTCTAAACAAACTGCCTGTGCGTATATTCAAAGCGCTTGTATCGCTAGTACCTGCACTAGTAAACTCTAACAAAAGCAACTACCATTTCGAATTACGCAAAACTGACTCTTGTGAGCTTCAAGGGTGCCATATTACGCAATTTTTCTTCCCATATTATAATGTTTCCTCATCATAAACATACCTGAAGCTGTGTTTAGTTTTATTCACACATATTCAACACACAAATCCTGCATATTTAGCCTTTCTAAATATTCTTCTCTTAAACAGAAAGCACTCTGCTCCACCTTGTGATGTCATGTGGCACTGTGTTTTTAAACTCCACACACATTCATTAGAATTATTTGGATGATTTCAGCCCTGGAATTGCCAACCTCTTCTGAACTAAAGGTAAAAGGAGCTGTTAACATGAAAATTGCCAGTTCATCACACCACATCACATTCATGACATCACAAGGTGGAACAAGGTATACAGACTAATAATAAAAGATCACTCTAACGTGTGAATGAAACAAAACACAACTCCAGGTAAGTTTTTGAGGACATAACATTATAACATGACTTAAAGCTCACAAGAGTTCATTTTGCATAATATAGGACCTAATGTGCTGTTATAATGCTGTTACTCAAAGTTTTCTGTATTACCACATAACATCACAAGGTCTCAAATTTGATAGTGAACAGTAAAAGCTGATGCTAACTTTATTCTTACAGATATCCAGAGTGCAGATCAGATTTCCTGGCTGCCCTGTAGATTCACTGATGAAGAAGTTTCAGCGAACACTAAAGGCTACTTTGATACAAAACACCACCCCAGACCGGCCGCCCTGCAGTTTGGACTGAAAGGAGACCCTCCAGTGGACCCAGACATTGTTACCTTTCTCATCACACGTGAGTTTGGATTGTTTTTGTGTTGTAAAGATCTTAGACTTAAACAAACTTTATTGATCCACAAGGGAAATTATTTGCACACAGTCACACATCACAATATATTAGAACAAATATATAAATTGTAATAATACATTCTAGATAAGTAGCTGTAACAGCAACAGACTGGTGTCAAATAAGGCACTAGTCTGTTGCAAATGTACATGTACCAGGAAAAATAAAATAAAATATAAAGCAGTAAAATAATAAAGTAATAAAATATATCTTAGCTCTATTTAGGAGCTTGTAAGGAAGTGAAGTGACGTAAGCTTTGATTACAGATGAAAGAACATTACAGTTTTTTACTGCTGCATCAAAACTGATAACTTCCACTTTGGTAGGAACAGAATGCTGCTAAATATACTGCTCAAAAAAGTAAAGGAACATTTTGAAAACACATCAGATCTCAATGTGAAAAAATATGTTGTATATCTGTACAAATCTGGACAGGGCAATGTCTTAGAAACAAAAGGATGCCACATCTTTTAATGGAAATGAACCACACATGCATCAACAAAGGACTGGTTTTGCATGTGGAGCTCATTTCAGGTTTCTCCTTCTTGGTGTTTTTTGGCTGGTTTTCCACTAGTGCTGCTTTGGCTACAGTGATTATCACTAATGGGTGTATGAGGCCATTTCTTAATCCTACAGAAGATGCACAGATTGTCCAACTTCTCCACCTGACTTAAACCCGACAGAACACCTCTAGAACATTATGTCTGGGTCCATCAGGCGTCGTCAGGCTCTACAGGAGTTCAGTGATGCTCTTACTCAGATCTGGGAGGACACCCCACAAAATTTTGGGGCGAGCCACAACATTGTCAAACATGCATACAAGCACGTGGGGACCACACAAGATATTGAGAAGCATTTTGAGTTTCAGAAATTAAATCTTGGCAAAATGAACTAGCCTGCCACGTCATTATTTAACTTTGATTTTCAGGTTGTCACTAAAGTGAACATTTTATTTCCATTAAAGAAGGTGGCATCCTTTTGTTCCTAAGACATTGCCCTGTCCACCTATCTGTTGATGTCCAGCATTTTTTTTCACATTGAGATCTGATACCTTCTCAAAATGTTCCTTTAATTTTCTGAGCAGTGTATATTCAAGTAAACTAAAACTAAAAACATTGGTCATCTTTAAAAACGTTGCACTCTGTTGTGTCCTTGAACAAGACACTTCACTCATCTAGCCTAAAAATATAATTGTGATTTCTTTTACAAGTTCCATTTAATTGCAATAGATTTTGCAGCCCCAGAAGTTAAAGGTGTACTGCGTAACTTCTCACTAGGGTCCGCCAGAAGCTTGTTTCCATGAAGATGTACTGGAATGTTCCACAGTAGGCAGGAGGTGACACCAGGTCAATTTACTGGTGAGATCTGTGTAGAGACTGTAGGGTTTTCAATGTACTTTTGAGCAACAAAAAGACACCAAATGAAAAAAAAAAAAAAAAAAGGATGGATACATTTAATAACATACTGTGCAAACACATGTCCATGGAAGCAAGCACGTGACTGACCCCCAACCAAAAAGTTACACAATGCATCTTAAAGAGTCTTAGTTTTTTTGTTTGTTTGTTTTTTGTTTTTGTCATTATAAATAGCATCAAAGTTGGATTTGCGTCATTTGCTGGTGGGTGCAGTGGTGGAGCAGTTATCCTGTGTGCTGCACCGTTACAGCACAGACGGGTCCCTCATTCGCTGGCCTGTCAAAGGGGAGCACCTGCACAACCGCTGGTTCAGTGTCAACATCTCTCACTCCAACCATCTGTTTCAAATCACCAGCTTCATCAGACAGTCCACTGACCAGCCCCCCACCGGACAGCACGACTTCAAGAGCTGGCCGGTCATACAGGACAAAGAGATCCTCACTACAACAGGTAAAACTTATATTTGATATTACAAACATGGGACGGCTGTGTGCTCTAATGTAAAGTACAAATGAGAAAATTATCCATCGCTAAGGAAAACCCACCAAATATAATGTAAAAATTATATATAAATAAATAAACAACGATTGATGGATTGTCGGAGCATTACGGCTACCGTAGTCAGGAGCCTCGCGAAGTAAAGGGCGAAGTTTAGATCTATGTTGGCATTTATGACATCAGTGAAATGCTACAGAGAATATATGTCCATTTATATATACGGTCTGTGCCTATGACCTGCAGACTTATAATCTCTGGTTAACATGAATCATCTCCAACGCAATAGAAGCACAGAACAGACTCACCATCAGCAGCACATCTTCAGTCACAGAAAGAACACTCATATTCCACTGAGTCGTGTCTTTGAGTCTGACAGAAGCTGACTACATCATGCACAAGGAGCGAGCTGTTTTTTCAGAGCTTACAGTTTCTGTAAAATGTAAACCAATGTGCGCAAAGCTGCATTAAACACATTATTACTCAATGTATATTTCAGTCCACCTCGTGAGAAATAAAAAAAACAACTTAAATGATCCACCTAAATACACTTTCATAATACACATTCACCAAGACAGGGAGGCAATGCCGAGTGAATTCTGCCAAGTGGATGGTGGATGCCTGGGCTATGGGATCAGTCTCAAGAGCCGTTAGTTTCGCTTAATGCGCCTTATAATCCGGTGCGCCTTATAGACCGAAAAATACGGTATATACATTTTGTTAATTTTAATAAACATAGAATACTGGATTGGTCTAACACGTAGACTGTATATTTAAGTGGACATAGTTAACCCGCAGGCTGCTGCGTTCCAAGTGCGCACTTCTGGCTCCAGCGACTTTGGCTCCAATTGATTTTACATTGAAAAATGTGTCACTCTCTCTGTAACTGCTGCAGTGAGCCTCATCATTTTGATTTTAAAATGTTCGTATAAACCTGCTCTACATGATCCTGGTGTTTTTCTGGCGTTATTCCTATTTCTAATATGGAACTTGGCTTCAAATTCACTTCTACATCTGCTAGCCACTATGAGCTTCATTTGACTAAAGCTGAACACTATCTTTATGTTTATGTTCATGTTTATGTTTGTGTTTATTTATTAAATATGGGACAGTGCACATTGAGCATTGATTGCTGTGTTAGTACAGCATGTAAATGTGCCAGAGTTTGCCGTGCAGGATCATTTTCATCCGTAGTCCCACTGGCAGTTTAATGACAAGACAAAAACAGAACAATAACATTCAGTCCATCACACATGACAAAAGAAGTAAATATAACTGTAGACTTATTAGTCAAATTAGAACATACTAAAAGCACACACAGCACGCAGATTAAAGACAATAGACACAAAACACAATCACACAACAAGACAGAGACATTTACTGTATGATGTTAAAACACATACAGATTAGTCCACGTTATGTACAGATTGTCCAGAAGCTGCTGTTTCACAGATTTACTGAAGCTGTGGATAGACGTCAGGTTTCTTAGTTCTGTGTGGACCTCTGTGGGTAACGTCACACTCCCTTAGACCACTTCTCTGTACAGCCTATGGTTTAACATTGAACTTTTTTCTAGAACATTGAAATATTATATTATATTTCTTTTTACTATCACTATATTGTTGTGTTTTGCAGAATGGAGTGCAGAGTCCAATAATTAGAATAGCATTTTTCCAAATCATTATGTCATCTTTTTTTTTTTTAATGCAGCTGAGATGCAAAGCATGTTGGTCATTTTGAGAGTCGAGGGAGCTGTTTTGCTGTGAAAAAAACAACCAGATCTAATGTCTGTTTTGTTTTTGTTTTTTTCTCTTTAGTGGTGATGATGATACAGACCCAGACTCCAGTGGTGAAATCTTTATTAAATTCGAATCCCAAACTACACTGCCAGTTCTACATTGACCACAAAGCTCCTAGAGTGACTGTGGAGTGGAAAAAAATCCACAACAATGTCCCTCTGTTCAGCCACGAGAGCCCATCAGGACAGACCCAAGGCTCAGGGGTGGAGTTAAAACAACTGGCTGCAGGGGGCGCCACCTACACCACTCCTCTCACTAAAGTGGGCAGTGAAGGCAAATACTTTTGCTCTGTGCATGTGCATCCTCTGCTGGGGAGTGTCACCGTGGATCTGAAAATAGAAGGTGACTATGATTCACTTGTTGCATGTTTCAATGTTGCTCAGTGTCTAAAATGGACTCTGTGTGCAAATAAACGACAGCAAACTGATTACACATGTGACATTCATATTAGGACTAAACTGGGACTATAACTGGAACTATATCCCAACCTATACCTGGATTAGACAAGGACTAAACCTGAACTAGACCAGGACTAAACCTGGACTAGATCAGGACTAAACCTGGACTAGATCAGGACTAAACCTGGACTAGATCAGGACTAAACCTGGGTTTTGGTCAATAAAATCTTGGATACAAGCAGGTCCTAGAACTCCTCCCAGGAAAATGACAGAGTACACCTTGTGTAGTGCAGCATAATAATTGTTTTAATACTTTTACAATACTTTTACTTTTTACAATACTTTTCTTACAGCACCTCCCCATGTTTCCTTGAACGTGGCTCCCACACTGACAATATCTGAAGATAGTGAGAGGAGAGTGGAGTGCAGGGCAGATGGGTACTACCCGCTGGACGTGGACATCCAGTGGTCCCATAAGGGCAGCACGGAGGTGGGCCCGCGGGTGGACACTGCCCAGCTCTCCGGTCACTCCCCTAACCCTGACGGCACATACAGCCTGTTCGCCTTCTTCTATCTGAAGCCAAAACGCTCTGACTCAGGGAGGAAGTTCACTTGCACTGTGTCTCACCGCGCCCTGCCAGCCCCCATCACCAAAACATTCACCCTCCATGTTACAGGTAAGAGGTCATGCATGGAGCAACTGCTGACTCAGCTCCTTAGTTTGTCAAGTCCTTACTTGGAAATCCCTCTCTCTTCAGCTAACTGTTATGTGGTCCCATTTGAGGACAACTGACTATTCAAAAGATATAATATTTAGTTTGGAATTGTTCATTGCTATGGCACTGGCAACAGAAAATGAGTTCTGCTTACTTAAAATCATAAAGTCACATTCATGTTTCCATTATAATTACTATTATTCTATATATGTGTATCTTTAACCATCAGAAACTCTACTTTTATTCTTCTCTTGAATAAAGGGAGCTATTTTTTCAGTTAGCAAAATAGTGCATTTTTTCTGCACTAACACAAACAACCACAAGGGGGTAGCAGACACTAACTAGAACTCAAACTCAAATTAAAAACTGGGACTAAATCATGGGCCAAACTAAATCTTTATTATAAAAGTTCAACAACATCTGCATGTTTTCTCTTCTTTTGAAATATGTAATGTTAAACCTTTTCTTATTAAAATAAATGTTTAATAATAGTTTTGTTTAAACACTGAATCCAGAACAAACTTAATATAAAATAATAATAACAACATTTTAAATAAATCATGTCTCTATAGTCTATCTGTAGTGGGCGGGTCAGCTCTAATACATATTTGATATGATCTCATGGGCCAAATGTGATTATATTGCAGGCCAAATTTGGCCCCCGAGCCTGAGTTTGACATGTCTGAAATAGAGCATACTTTGGCTTTATTTTGCAGTGACAGTTATCATTTATCATATATCATTTATTTTTCATTCATTATTCTGTAAACTTTTGAAACATCTACACAATACTGTTGAATGTATAAAGTGTATTTTGTAATTCTCTTCTTTTCAGAGCCAGGTCAGTGGATACTTTACTTCAATGTTTTCACTCTGATGGTTGTAATGTTCCTGATACTACGATATATATGCAGAGGTGACAAGTGAACTTTGTGATAGATATAACATTGAAATGTGTATATTTACTTCCAATTTAACATTATTTATTTTTGTTTTTAGGGAGAAGATATCGGTTATTTTTCTAACTGCAGGATCCAGGTTTGCGTCCAGAGAAAGACAAAGTTTACAAAGCAGCTTCTTTAACTAGAGAAGTCTGCCCCAGCTTTTCACCTACTTGTGTGTGTGTGTGTTTAGATATGCTTTTTTGTTTTCAAGATTTTGCACTTCTTATTCAAACTGCTTTATGTAACGTTTCTGGTGGAGGGTCCACCACCACCTGTTTGTCTCCATGAATATGCCATTGCTTTGCTTTTGAGACAACCTCACTGTAAATAAATAAAAATAAATGTCATGCTGTATAATGTCTTAGAAAAAGACATAGCTTCTCCATGGAGACCAGCAAATGACACACCCTCCACCAGAAAGGTTACATAGTGCACCTTTAAGTACTTGATAGCATTTTTGTTTTTGTTGTTTTGGGTTTTTTTCAGGGAGGTTTTTCTTGCAGACTTTAGTGAGGTAAAATTACTTGATATTCAACACAATGATTTGCTCCGATTGTAGATATGTTCAAAATGTGATGTGAACAAACAGTAACTGCCCTTATGATAGATTCACAAAACTGTCTATAATTTTGTTACCTCCTCAAAAACAGACCTGGAGTTGTGTTTTGTTTCTTTCACACATGTTTGAGTAATCTTTTATTATTAGTCTGTCTACATCTCTTTAACCTTTTGTTGAATAGAATGGCGATTCCAGAGACGACATTATCCAAATGATTCTAGTGAAGTTGTATAGAGTTTAAAAACACAGTGGAGCACTTCCTGTATACCACATGACATCACAAGGTGGAACAAAGTAGTATTTTGCGTTTGAGAGAAAAACTCAATATGTGTGAATGAAACAAAACACAACTCCAGGTCTGTTTGTGATGAGGAAACTGTAAATCACATCTCCCCAGCTCATGTAAGATGGAATGGACCAACTGCACTGGATTTATTTTGAATGTTTATGTAAAATGTGCCTGTTGTTTCAAGGCTGTTTTGAGTATGAAGAGCTTTTGTCTATAAGTTTAACTACTGAAGTGTAATTAAATTAAATTATGGCTAAATAAAGCTTATTTTTTTATGTAATACAATCAATGCTTGTTTTTTTTAGTACTCCCATTATGAAAATATACATTTCAGAGTCTACTATTGCTATTGTTCTACATTATGGTACAATATGTAACTCTGGATATTATCTTTCATCATTCATAGTTAAAAGTTAATAGTTTTTCCATTATAGGCTAAATTCTATATTAAATTATAAAGCGTTTTGTTCATTATTAGCAATCTCAGCTGACCAAAATGAAAAAGGTTAACTTGAAAACTACTGCTTCATGACATCACAAGGTGGAAAAGAGCATTTTGAGCTTTGGAGTTGTAGACAGACTAATAACAAAGGGTTAGTTAAACATATGGATAAAACAGGTGCGAGTGACTTCGGGGAACATGCTTTTTTATTTATTTATTTATTTTATTTTTTTGCAGTGCTAGAATAAAGTGTAATTGCACATCCACTACTAAGTGAATATTAGCGCTATACAAGAAAACGTGTTTGTGTTTTTCTTTACATCCGGCTTTTCCGCACATGCGCAGTGACTGGTAGGCAAAACATCTGTGGGGCCGCTCGTTTGTGTTGACAGTTGCTTTGCGTATGTCTGTGTAATTGTTTTGACATGACTTCATCATCTTACTCTAAGTCACTGAATGCTGAGGATCAAAAACGTTACTTTGAAAAGTTAAAACTCGCCAATAAAGGTATCCATCTCCCCGACTCATTTTCTCTGGAAGATGGCTGGCTGACTGACACATTGCTCTGGTGCACTCAGTGACTCCGTATTTTATTATTTTCCATTCTGCTGCTCTCAGTGACTCCGGATGTGACGTCATCGTGTTTGTTGTTTTTTTTTTTTTTACACAGAGCAAACACACACACAGCACAGAGCAGGAGAAATGAAGTGCAGAGAACAAACTATAAGTGTATGTAGCGCTCGGCTTCACTGTGACTATGGTGGGAAACGAGGAAAGGCCGCTGTGCTTACTGATTCTAAAAATGTTGGCAGCGGACAGCATGAAGCCAAATAAATTACGGCATCGCTTAAAGACATCACACCCTAATCACACTGATAAACCGCTTGAGTTTTTTCAGCGAAAACGTGCCGAATATTGCCGACAATCATCCCGCTTTGTGACTGCTACTTCAGTAAACTAGCGAGCGTTGTTGGCATCATATAAGGTGGCAGTGTTACGCAGAGGTGTACTTATAACAATTTTATAGACACATGATACTATTTATAGTCACGCGGGGGGGCGCGAGATGTTTTATTCTTCCTAGGGGGGGCATGACAGAAAATAATTGAGAAGCACTGGGCTAAGGGCACAAACTTTACTGTGACATCAATGACATCACAGTCTCTGTTTATTTATTGTAGTGTGATTGGACAACTGTTCTGTCACTCACGTCACGTCACGTCAACCTGCGGCGTCAACTCGTAGCAGCTTCACGATTAGCGGCAGCTGCTACTTTAGCCTAAAGCTCCACACAGGAAATGGCGAGGACAGAGTCAAAGACCCGACCTGACAGACCCGCCGCCGGGACCCGGACTGTCACTACCGCTGTTGGGGCTGGGACATTCCTTGCCGGGACCCGGGACAGTCGCTGCCGGGACTGGGGCAGTTGCCACCGGGCCGGGGCTCTCGCTGCCGCCGCCGGGACCAGGGCAGTCCCTCGCTGCTCTACGCGCCTTTACCCGCTCGTTTCTGGGTGTAAACGTTTGACCTGAGCAGAGCGCGCAGAGGCAGAATTCTACCTGGTGTCCTGGTGCTGATATGGACTGACCGTAACTTTCAGATTTAAGTGGGAAGTGGAATTAAGACTAATTTTACAACCGCTCGTGCACTCGGCTCCTGGACCTCGCGTCACGGACCAGACTGGACCAGGATTTGGACCAGTTTCATCTCTTCATATTGGACAATAAACTTTTGGAGACAGAACCAATGGAACAGCGGATAGAAGAAACACTCTGCTTCAGTCTCTGGAGAAGGTAAGAGGTTTGTTTTCATAAGTTTGCGGCAAATCTGAACATGAAGCCTCACAGGTAAATAGTGTTATAGTGTTAATAGTTAAATAGTGCGTAAATGAGCTCGTGTGTGATGGAGCTGCTCCAGGTTGTTCTGTCGTGTGCAGTAGGAGCGGCGCTGATGCCGTGTGTTCATGTTGTGACCAGAGCCTCTTATCTTATTGTAGTTTTGTTGACGTTGTTGTGTCTGGGTGTGAGCGGAGTGTTACATTGTGTTGCTGCGTAAAGTTTTCGCGTAGCTGTTCATTGTGCTCTGATATAGTTCAGCCACTAGTAACCAAAATATTCATAATATATATTTATAATTTTGGCCTTAGTGCCCCTCCCAAAAATTATACCATCATCATTTTTAATTTTTTTTAAAAAAATATATCTCACATCAGGAGAAGTGTGTGACTGGCGTATCCTCGCGTACCACGCCCACTACAGCCCTGGTGCTGCCCGATGCGTGGCTATTTCTTGCCCATTGCTTCTTTCAGCGATGTTGTTCAGAGGTGTTTTTGACGGGAGGCTGTTGTTTAATGTTTACAACAAATGGCAGGCCTTATTGTTTTTTTGTTTTTTTTTAAATAAATTTCAACCTTTTATTATTGTCTTGTGTGCGTATCGTCTACCACGCAGCCTCAACAACTATTGCAGCTAATAATATTAACATTAACAATAATGATAATAATAACAACAACAACACATAATTAGCCTAATACTGTTAAAGAAAAACGTGTTTGATAGCTTTTCTGCTTTGTATGACTCCACCCCATTAAAATATTTCTCATATGGCAGTGCCCCCCCTGCTGGTGACCCACGCCCCTCCAGTAGATGTGCTCTGACGCCGACTCTGAGGAGGACACAGGAGCGGACCACCTCATGACGCAGGTGAGTGCAGCGCGAAATACGGACGGACACATGCTGCATGTGTCCAGGGAGTCGCTTTGGAGACGCGATTAAAACATTTGCTTTTGTATGTCGGTTACTGAAGGCGAGGATGCGATTTGCCCACGTTTGGTTGTCGTTCTGTGGAGTGGGAGGGCGAGAAATGTTTTTTTCCAGGGAGGGTGTGACAAAAAAATTATTAAGAAGCACTGGCTTAAATCAAGAAAGCACAAAAACTCAAAAGCATAAAAAACAACCACTATCAAATTCTGCATTGTGTAACTTTTCTGATGGAGATGTTATTGCTTTGTCTAGAATCTTTCACAGTATGGCATTAAACCTTTCTATCTTCATGGAGACCAAACAGCTCACAGTCAGAATGCTGTTTTTTTAGGTTATAAAACCACCTGTAACTGAGTAAATGTAAGGTGGAAGTGTTTCATATCATACTATGGAATATTCCAGGCAGAGCAATGACATATCCATAGAAACAACCAAAAAGTTCCACAGTGCACCTTTAAATATCCACTGTTTGATTCTGCAGCCCTCCTCCATAGTCTGTGAGTATAGAAGTCTTGTTAGGTCTGATCAGCAGCAGTGTCATGGCCTCCGGTGCGTTGACTCTGGAGATAAACAGTTGTGGGTCTGGACTGGTTCCAGATGTGGTCTTGTGGTGAGTGTGTGGTTTAAAGATCCTTATCGAGGAAAGAGTGTGTCATGATGAACCAATGAGGAGGAGAAACACTCACCATGGAAACACAACAAATCAGATATTAGACATGGTTACATCAAGAACCCACCTGGAGAGAGAAGAATACAACATATATGTTTATTGGACTACAACTTTGTCACTTTTATTGAATTTTGATTGCCAATAATTATAATAATAATATTACTACTACTACTAGTACTCCTACTCCTACTGTTACTCCTACTCCTACTGTTACTACTACTCCTACTCCTACTGTTACTACTACTCTAACTGTTACTACTACTACTACTACTTCTACTACTACTACCACCACCACCACCACTGCTAGTCTGCTACTATACATTTTTATTGCTACTACTACAACTACTACTTCTGCTATTACTACTAGAACTACTAGTTCTACTACTACTACTACAACTACTACAACTACTACCACTACTACCACTGCTAGTGTGTTACACTTTACTACTGCCACACTACTACTACCACCACTGAATTTTATGAACAGACAATAAATGGTAGTGTTATTGAACTACAGATGTGGAATAGATTTTATGCCAGATGCCCTTCCTTATGGAACCACAACCTCCAGAGTAGCACTATCTCCTGTCTTATATCACCTCAGCGGGCCAGCGGTTGCTAAGATACACACTGTGTTATTCTCTGTATTAGGAGTACAAATTTTGAAGTGCAGTGAAACCAGACCACAGGAGGTGCCATGACTGGTGCTCTCCAGTTCTCTGTACCAGTCTGAGACTGGAACTTCACCCTCTCATATAACAAGAGGATCTGGAAACTGTCAGTGTCAAATTAATGGCACATTTTAATTTAGCTCTTATAGGTGCACTGTGTAACCTTTCTGGTGGAGGTACACGCCCTGCTTGACTCGATTGCATGTTTTTACTTTGCTGGGAATGTCCCCCATGGATCGCCATGGAGAAGAGTAGGTGATAAGATTAGGCCAAGTTACAAGTTAGGGGTCACATTTATAAAAGTTTACATAGATTTCTTACTAAAAGTGTATGTAGGTACCATCAAACAGTGTTTCCCAAACTTTCTGGACTCATTTTAAAAG